AGGCCTATAACTAGCATTCCATAGCTTAGTACATTTGGCTATTGCGGGATGATGAATTTTAGAAATATTAGGAGAATCCTTAATAGCTTTCTCGACATCTGTTGTGGCAATAAGACTTATCGTATGGCACAGACAACGAATGTGGGGATTATAAATGTGATTTATTATATAATTATATATTATACTTTTAGATGCTTGACAAAAAGTCCGCAGAATCACTTATAGATTTGTGGCATTCTTTACATTCTGCAGTAATTTTATTATTATCATGTTGAAGTACGAAAAAATTTCCTACTTAATTTAAATTTATTATTTTTCTGTTGAAAAGAATCATCTGAAGACGAAGATAAACATATTATTCTATTTTCTTCTTCCATTATTTAAAAATAGACGGATATAAAACGATTCAAATAAAATATAATGGTTCTAATTGTTAGCAAATTGCTATATGACGACCAACGTCATATATCATAAATTATCTAAATATCTAAATTCTGATTAAATTTTAAAACAATATCATTTAAAATTTTAATACTATTTAAATTAACGAATATAAATTTTTTTTAAAGTATCTGTATCTTTTTGAATTAAGTTTGTTAAGATACAAATACTTCTACAAATTGTATAATAAATATCTTATAAATAAATTTTAAATCAATTGCATGGTGTGTATTTGAAGCCATATTCTATATCTTCGATTGGAATTTTAATTTGGGCCACGTGATCTATTATTTATTTTTAATTTCGCATTTTAATAAACCCTATTTTTAAAAATGGCTATTTTTTTGTAAAATTTTTCTTCTCAATTTTCTACCCATCGGAAAAGGAAAAATAATATATTTGACAAATTTCAAAACATTAAAATTAGATGAATAAAAGGTAAAAATAAATGTTTATGAAATTATTTTTGATAATTATATTTTGTAATAATCATACGTGGTTTTAAAGACACATTATGCAAATAAGGTATTTTATTTGAGTTTTATATTTTTAGAATTATGAATTGTGGTGACATACCTAATGATAGTGAAGATTCAAATTTAAGTGAAACGTCGGATGAGAAGTTTCTATCAACACAAAATAATGATTTAGGTATATTTAAAATTTGCTCTTATATAATCTATAAATATATAGATTTCAATGAGACAGATGATTCGGAAGAAAAAGAAAATATCAATAATGAAAAAGAAAACACTAGGAGAAAAATAGTTTGGAATTCCACTTGAAAGTGAAGGCCATGACCCACTACATAAAATTAGACCCCTAATAACTAACCAATAACACTAAAATCTTTATCGATAAACGAAAATATTTGCGTAGATGAGCAAATTATTCCATACAAAGGGATAAGCAGGTTGAAACAATATAACCCTCAAAAGCCCAAAAAATGGGGCTATAAAGTATTTCTACTATGCGGAGATGATGGCCTTCTGCATAATTTTGAAATATATTCTGGGAAAATACTAGCAGCGGAAGGATTGCCTGATGTTGGAGCAAGTGGCAATGCTGTGCTCCGTTTAATTTCTTATATACCGCAGCAAATTAATTATAAATTATTTTTTGATAACTGGTTTTGTTCCCCAAATTTGCTAGTCGTACTCGCTCAAAGAGGGATATTTTGCGCGGCCACGGTCAGAGGTAATCGACTTCCAGATATAAACTTCCCAACAGATAAGGAATTTTAAAAAAAGGCGAGGATTTTTTGTTTAAAAAAAACAATAATAAACGGAGTGGAGCTAAATTCAGTGAAGTGGCACGACAATCGTGCTGTGACTTTATTAAGCACTTTTGTAGATGCACATCCTCTAATAGACTGTGAAAGATATGATAGGAAAAAAAAGGAAAAAATCATGATAAAATGTCCAAATATTGTTAAAATATATAATAAATCAATGGGAGGTGTAGATCTCATGGATTCTTTACTTTCCTTATATAGAATTCATACGAAATAAAGAAAATGGTACCATAGAATTTTATTTCATATGTTTGACATGTTACTTATAAATTCATGGTTGCTATATAAACGTGATTGTAATAGTATATCAATAGCACGCAAGGATCGATTAAGTTTGTACAATTTCAAAATTTCAGTGGCGAAGTCCTTTGCAAAAATATGGCAAATGCACTTCAAACAATATACCAAAACGAAAATCAGTTCAAACTGGTTATCGGGAAAAATGTAAAAAAGGACCAGCTCAATATTTACCACTTGAAGAGGTTAGGAAAGACCTCACGGCTCATTGGCCAAAATATAATGATAAGAAGGATAGATGTAAAATGCCAGGATGCTTATTTATAACAAAAGTATTTTGCAAAAAATGTGGTGTATATTTATGTTTTACGCCCACAAATAATTGTTTTATAGATTTTCATGAAAATTAAAATGTTTAAACCTTTAATATTTGTTGTATTTAAATAAAATTTTATATATTTATATTTTAAAGTACAATAAAAATTATTGTGGAAATAATTGAAATTTGTATCCTTAATTGCATAATGTGTATTTAAATCCACATACCGTTCATCTTCTAAGAAATTTAGAATTTTTTTAAAAAAAGTGAGCCATGAGATTATCAATAGTATCTAGAGAAATAAAAAATCTAGTTTGCCAAAAAAAAATTATTCTAACATAGTACATGCAATACAGGGTTAAATAATATGTATCTTAGATACTTTCCAAAATTTAAAAAAAGATAATCTTAAATACAAATATCCATGATACACCAACACTGCTGCTTATATATCGCCCCAGGACATCATTCTTGGTTATACTCAATTGATTTTTTAATTTAAATCACAATACTATTCATATTTTTATTAAAAATTATATATTATAAAAAATTTTAATATAACGCCATCTATATTACATTTTTTTATTTATAAAAATAATAAAAATTCAAATAAAATTAAAAAAAACAAAAATGGCTATTGAGATTTTTTATTAAATCGTTTAATAAAGGTAATAAACATTTTTAGTGAATATTAACACCCAAAAAAAATCCCTTCCTAACAATGTTAATTTTTTTATTTTCACCGGAAATCTTGAAATTTTTTAATTTTTTTAAATATTTTCCAACGTAAAATTTTAAGGGCTATAAAATGATATATAATTTGTAACTCTATCTTAAGTATTTTTTAAAATAACAAGATTTAATGAAATTACGCACTTCGCGATTTTCGACTTTGAAGGCGTATATCTTTGGATCTGGTTGAGCTAGCACTCTAAAATTTTGATTTTATTAACATTTACAACATATATAATTAACATGCCAAGTTTTATTCATTTTTGAGATGGTAGGCCGAAAATCTCGTTAAGATACAAGATCCTTTTGTATCTTGTATTCAGTATCTTTTTGACATTTTTAAAGATACACTCGTATCTGTTATCTAAGATCCTTTATTCTGAAAAGAATCGTATATCTTTTTCATTTTCTTGATAAAAGATACAGATACTTTTTAATATTCATGTTTAAAATTTTACATATTACAGTATACATCTTATTTTCTTCGAGAATCTTGTATTAATTTCCGCCATATTTTAAATATAATGACAATCAAAATTAGCTAGAAAATTTACAACTCATATTAAGGAAGATAGATATAAAAAAATAACACCAAAACGAAATTAGCAAAGATTATATTTTATATAAATGTAAATCGATAGTATATTTTTTAATTTGTAGGATGATTCACTCATGGTAGTGAAGGAAAGTAGTGAAATTTAAATTATGGAAATAAGTTCTCGTGAATTAAATTCCAATTTTAAAATTTTATATGAAATTTTTTTTAAAATAAAAGTTAAAAAAGACAATATACAGGCTAGATGTAAAACCTGTGTAAACAAAAAAATGATAAAGGGTTAAACACAGATTTTGTTAATTAAACATATTAAAGTATATTATTTATGTGTGGTTAAAAGAGGCATAGGTCACCTAAAAAATAAAGTTTTGTCTACCTTTATTAAAAGCTGCTTAAGATGGTATGGGCAAAAGATCTTAAGAAAATATTTCCCTATGATTTGAATATGAGGCTTTTTTACATCAATATCACATCCATATTTTAAGAACTTATGGATTGAGTCGGATGATAAGAAAAAATACTTTTAAAATATATTAATAAAAGAACTTTAAATGAAGTACCAGAGTATGTAATCAAGCTCGAACTATAAATACCAATAGATTTAACATCTAATAAAGAAAATGATGATTATTTATCTTTTGATAGCAAATGTTGCTGAGTTCCATAATACAAATAACATTGAACTGGAGGTTTTAAATTATATTAAAGAAAGTAGAAATGTTTAATGCTTAATTATTATCCTTCCATTGAGGAATTTTTTTACAAATATAATACTGCAATAACCTCATCAACTTAAATTGAAAAGTTATTAAATTTTGGGGCACAAAGTTAAGTACGTCGAAACGGCAAAGGTCTAATGAAAAATTATTTGAAAAATTTGATCATCTTATAAAATAATAAATTTATTTTAAATACTCTTTTGCAAATTAATATTTCAATTCCCATTAAAAATACTAGTCTCCCTTACCTATCTTCGCTAAAAATGCGCTATTACTAATATTAAAATGCCTGTTTATTATAAACTCATAAAATATTTTATTAATTATTGCAAATATTCATTATTATATGCGTATGTTATGTTTTTCACAAATAAATAATAAAAACTTTTTATATACTATTCTAATCTAATTTTAAAAATATCTTGTATTTAAGAAAATCTAATTTAGCAAAAGATACAAATATCTTTATCTTGTATCTTTTTGATATTTTGAAAAAGATACTAGTATCTGTATCTAAGATTCATTATTTCACAAAGAATCTGTAGCTGTATCTAGATTCTTTTTCCATAGGACCTGCCCAACTCTGAAAACACCTTATAAATTTACATAATTTCTTATATTAAAATACCCCATATTTAAATTATTATATTAAAAACCCCCAAATTCATTTGTTTAATTTATCTATTGCCATTAAAATTTCAGACAATTATATTCAAAAATCGAAGAAATCATTCGTAGATTCTAGGAGTAGGAGACATTTGACCCACATCAACACGCAATTGCAAGATGTTCAAAAGATAATGGTACAGAATATAGACGATGTTTTGCAGAGGGGAGAGGCTCTGTCAAGTTATTTTTTTTTATATTTGAAGCTGAATAGAAGGAAAAGTAAAGAAAGAAAGGAATTAGTACAAAAGAATTGTTTAATACTAATTTATTTTTAAATTTAGTGTTAGATGATAAAGCCACTCATCTGAGCTTGCTCTCCCAAAAATACAAAAAAGAGGCCCATGCGCTCAATTTAAGAAGTTCTTACCTCAAGATAGGAATTCTACTTTTCCTTGTCCTTATATTGTGCGCTTACATTCGATTTTGGTGGTTTTGACGATATTTCTATTTATTGTATTATCTTATAACTGAAACTTATTCTTATTATTTGCTTCTTTCTATTCATCTTAAATTCTTCTTTCTATTTTTAATTTTTTTTTTTATTCATTACCAAGATGTATTAATCTTTGAATTTGTTATATCTTTTGATATTTTTCATTTTGTTTTATTATTAAATTTGTTTGTTATTCAAAATACCAATGTATATTAATAAAATATTTGAATGATAAATATTTTGGAGTGCGCCTTATTCTGCTCACTGAAAATGAAACACTAATAATTAGTTCTAATTAATTAATATAAGTTGTATATATTATATATTTAAAAAATAGTAGATAGTAGCAGCAAGTTGTTCTTGTACCAATATTAATTAAGAAAACAGTAAATAAAAGTTAACAAAGAAAAATTAATTTTTACAAAAATGAAACTATAATATTCGTAATTTGCAATTCACCTTTTATTTTTCTAATGCTAAAATTTATAAATAACTATTTTTAATTTTATTTTTCTAATGTAAAATTTATAAATAACTATTTTTAAATTAATAATATATTAAATAATAATTTTGTGGAACTTAAGAAACAATTTTTAAAATGTTTTATATCGGAGTACCTTGAATAATTGGTAAACTAGTAAATATATATGAGATTTAAATCAAAATGAATTGTTTGGTTTAATAGTAACATTTTTTTAAAAAAAAGATAACAATAAAAAATTTATTCCATTTTGCAATATTTTGCGTTTTCCTTTTGGTCAGCTGCTTTCATCAATATTTCGTTGTGGCGATTCAAAAATTTTGAAGGCCTATGAAATAAATAATAAAAAAAAGATAATGGTATAAATTAAATATATTAAAAATTGCCCAATTTGAATAAAAACATAAAATTTTCAAACTAAATTTAACTCAAAAATATATGACAAAAAGTCCTTCGTTTTGGTAATCGATTGGATTTATGAGAAAACTTGCTTAAATTAGCAATAATTATTTTCAAGGTACATATTGCTTAGAAAGTGATAATGAAGAGCAAGGTGTCGAACAGAACCCCGAAACCGAAATACATTTTCAAACCATAATTGAAGCGCTAAAGAAAATTGTAAGAGGTTCGTTCGACACCTTTAGGAAGGGTTTCTTATTCAGAAAAACACAGGAGTGAAAAAATATAGTGCTTATATCTTTTTTTCTAGAAATGAGCTTATTACTCTATAAAAAAAAATTAAACAACACTAAAGTTTTGAGGAGATAACCGCCAATCTTAACTTGTAGGTCTTTTAACTAGTACCCTATACATAATCGATATTAATTTAAATGTGACAGGCGAACCGACCTTTCATTTTCATGCATTATATTATAACTCCTAATATATATTATTTAGGAGATATTCCATTTTAGATAAAATATAATGAATTTTTCAAGCTAACTTGTCGTATGTAGCCCCCAAAACACCAAATTCCTCGTCAACCTTTTGATTGAAAGAGGTCAAAATTTTGTGGAACTTATGAGTTTTCGGTTTCCAAAGGGAATCCAGGACCCATCCACCAAACATTTTGACATAAAACACAACCTCCTTTGATTCTACTATCTTGACCTGAAATATAATAAAATCACCAAATAGTACAAGTTATTTAATTCTTAACCCATTCTAACTGGCAGTTATTGTCTACTATGTATACAAAGTAACCATTAGTTCCTATTTGATGGCTTAAACAGGGAATTCTACTCGGGGGAGGGAGGGGGATATAACGCAAGATCGTAATTGAAATTGGGAGGGTAATATTAATTTAGATTTCTTATTTTTGCTAATTTGATTTCTCTTTTTTGTTTAATCTTGAATTTCTCTTTTTTGCTAATTTGATTTTGATTTGGGAGAGGGTAATATAATAATTAGCTTTATAGAGGCCCCTGGACTTGAGGAAGTCATCACTTCGGGGTGGAATGATCAAATCAATAATTTTTTTATAATAATAAATTCTTTTCAAATAATAATATTTTATATCTGTTATTTTATATATAAAGTTTTAATTAACTCTTAAATTATATTATTTAGTTGAGCTCCTCAAATTATTTTTAATTTAAATTTTAAAAGAAATATCTAAATTATTTCCATCCTGTTTAATTTGATTATAATATGTTGTTAGTTTATAAATATATATTTTAATTTATAGCTTTTTTACTCACAAAGAATAGTGACTTTTTAACACTATAAAAATATAGAAATTATTTCAGTTCTGTTTAATAAATTTGATTTACTAAGATATTCATAAACAGTTATAAAAATATGATTTATAGCTAGTATCCTTTCTTAAAAAATCTTATCATTTTTCCAAGTGAAACAAGGTGTTTTAAAAAGGTCAAGAAGTTTCATATTAGTATAATCACAGACCTACAGGTCCGGATCAAAGGTGTACAGGCTGTGTTAAATATTTATTTAAATAACCTTGGCAGGTTCGGTTTCTTCAGGCCAGGCCTAAAAAATATTTTCTCTATAAACTCAGACCGGTCGTGCAATTAGTACCTCTGCAGGATATCACAATATTTTTAATTTTTTTATTTTAAGTAAAATCTTAAAATTTTGACTACCCCACAACTAGTGTTGTTAAACGGCTCGTTTGGAGCCGATATTTAAAAACGGCTAACTCAATATTTTAGCCAGAAAAATATAGCCTAAGCCTTAGATTTCGATAACATATGTATAGATCTTTGCGTTTAACAACATCTATGAAGGACCATAATGTACCCCACGAATTCATTATTTTTTTAGTGTTTTAAAGTTTAAATTAAGTGAAATATTATTTTATATTAAAATTAAATTCTATAACGATTAAGCTATAAATAATATTATATTTTATTAATTATATAAAATCAGGACTTCAGTCTCGCTAAATATTTAAGCAAGATTTAGTTCGGGCATCAGATCAAAATCGTAAACTCTGTTCTGTTTGGGTATAGGAACATCAATCAAATTTTTTTAATGTCAGTCAACATCTTGTATATTCAAACTATGTTCAATATCTCAAATTTAAAAAATAGTAACGAACCAGTCGACCCCATAGTTAAAAAACTGGTTCATGTTTAGGTTCAAATTCATGAAAAATGACCTTTGAACACGGTTCATAGTTCTGGGACCTTTTTTTATTTTACCAAAATTACAAAGATTGGTCGTGGTGAATTTGAAACCGATTACAGTAGAAGATTTTTTATAGTAAAGCAATATACTAATACTAAGTTGCAAGTGTTTTATGTTAAAGTTAGATAATAATATAAAGGTACTATGAAAAAAAAATTCATCCATGTCATTCGACGTCGACTAAAAATTGTTATCTGATAGAAGAATGAATGTTTAAAAATACCAGCTTCAGTGAATCCCACCCTGTCCCATATCAACTATAAAAAGCAAGAATGATATAAGATAAATGTTACCCCAAAGTAAAACAAAAAAAAATATGATAGCTGTTGTAAACACACTTCAAACTTTATGGATCATCATATAAACCGTTAAGAAAATATCGCCCTACTATTAAGGTGAATCTTTCAAAAACAAAGGAAAATATTTGATTATTTTCCATAGAAATTACGCTTAAATCTCATTTTCACTCCCTGGCGGAATGCGAAATAAAAAAAGTACTAATAATAGTTGAGATATACCTCCATATTTTTTACAAATGTTTACCTCGGCATGTTGCTTTAAAATTATTTTCTACATTTAGATATTGCATAACGATTTAGGACGTAAATCATAATAAAAACTAGAAGAAAGCTATAAACTATTTTCCAAATTAATTTTTGAATTATCTTATATATTTTAGTGAATAAAATATTTTATATTTAATCTTTACCGTATTTTAAATAAATATATCTTTTAAATAAGTATTTCTCTCAAACATTTAGAATGCCAATCAAGTGACCTAGGTAAGGCAGTAAGTCAATTTACACATATAATGATTTAAATGTAAAAATAAACGTCAGGATTTTCAGGCTTCGGAGCATCCTTGGCGAGGTAAAACTTCATCTCCATCTCTTTTTTATCATGATCCACCTCCTTCATATTTTTGACGTGAACCAACACTGGGACTGTCATTTCGATTTTCTCTTCTAAATTAATTAAATGTTGTTTTTATAAGTAATATTATTCCTATTGGAAAAACTAACCCAAGTTTTAATTTATAATTTAAACCTTTTAAATTGCAATTTTGAAATTCATTAATACTCCTTAGATGAAAAATTTAATTTTTATTATTCAATGTATAGAGGACAAAATATTTACATCATTTGGCGAAATATAATTTTTTTTAAACTATAAGACCTAGATGGTAAATTTTTTCTCTGTATTATCTCCTACATTTTATGACGGATCAATACCATTAATAAAAGGTAATCAAGATCATAATCATCAACATTAATAAAATTTAATCAAGATCATAATCATCAATATCTTTTTCAGATATCCAAAGTTGCCAGGTCTTCCCCATCAGCGGGAGGCTCCCGAAATTATTTTAGTTTACATGTAGACATCTCCCTCCCGCAATTGGAAATCTCCTGCTTAAATTTTTTAACGTTTTTAATTTCATAAATAATAATTTTGAGAAACGATATTTGATTATTTATATATTTTTTAAATAAATTTTAAAAAATTTTCAAAAAACATGTCTAGTTTTTCAATTTCCTTTGTGGGACTTATTTCTATAATATTATTATTATTTACTATAGTTCACTCACTATGAGCAAGAACAATTCATTATCATTATTAACCAGTTATTTAAAAAACTCTTCAATATTTTCGAATTATTGTAGAAACAATCATTAGCACAGGTACCATGTATAAATGATGCGAGTTACTCCGACATGTTTTTATCAGATGATTATCACCAATACCCGTCACTGATAGAATTTTAAAATATCATAACCTCTAAAAAGATATTTTTTAAATGGTTATAAAAGCTGTCCAAATATTTTGAAAGAATTTTTCGAAAATGAATTTGCGGAAGCATATTTAGGCATTGTTTTACATTTAGAAAATCTACATGCTGTTAATATACAATTGCAATTAAAGAATCTTTTTTAATGCAGATTAGCAAAATTAGGTTACAGCCCAACTATGTTAATCTTAACAGCTAAAAATTGTCATTTTCAATTGTTTAAATGTTATCCAATTTATTGCTTTTTAAATGAAGCAGATATTTTTACTAAAACAAATTTAGAGTATTAGCAATCAAAATTTGTTTAATAATTCTATTTACTAATATATAAATGTTATGACCTTTAAAAATACCGCAAGATATTGTTATCTTATTAGAGGATATTGTTATTCACAATTAGTGCGAATTCACAGCGATATACAAAAATTATTATATTTATATCATACTTTTTTTGTACTATTTTTTATGATCCAGAATAATTCAAAATAAATGAACTAAGGAGGAATTTTTTCATAATAACGATAAACCCCCAAGCTCGATGCTAACATCTACTACCTATTTTGAAAAACAATTGCCTGTTCATTTATATTTTTTTTTACATTAAATTATTATATATAAACAATATTTAAAAATATTAATAATTTAAAAATATTAATTTATATTAATCATAATTTAATAATGTAGTGCTAGAATTTTAATATGAGATAAAAATCCTCTCTGTGATAGATTTTACTAATATTTGAGATCAAGAAAAATTGTTCAATACTCTCGCACATGGGGGAGATCTGGCAGGTCAAGATTCTAGATATTTCATATATTAAAAACTCTTTTAAGCTAACTTGAATTATGAACCCTATTTTTGATCATATAATTTTAAATATTTATTTTCTTCAGGGACTTGGAAAAAGTTTGATATTTGGAAAGTGGTTGAATAAATTTTAAAAACTGTTCTGAAACGATAATTAATAAAATTATTATTCATATTAATAATTTGACAGTATTAAAACAATTGTGTAAATTTAGATTTATATATTGTAGAATTTAGAATATCAAAATCCTATAAGTTAATCCTAATTTTATTTCATCCGCTAAATATTTTTGTAAGAATATTTTTATGAATATTTTGAAGGACTGATCCATCAGCCAGGCCATAGGTAGCTTCAACATTTAAGTTAGTCCGGGCCCGTAGTCCGAAAAATATTAGTGTTATATTTCCTTCCTAAACATACTTTTTTTGTTACTTGATTAAATATAACAATTAATAAAAAAATAAGAAAAGTTTTTTTAAAAAAATCATTAATTGGGAAATATTTACTATTCATTTTCGTTTTAAATAATATTAAATTAAAATAAGTTTGAGATTTCTTCCCTATAAATTATTTTCTAAATTCGACCCCGGGCCGCCAAGGGCCAAACTTTGATCATAATTGTCACCGTGCCGCGGGCGGGCTCTGGACAAAAATTAAATTTAATGGTCTCTAGTTACAAGTACCTAATTTTTATATTTTTTTATTTGTCCCGAAATTTAAAATGCAAGCATTGAATCAAGACTTATGATAAATGTAGTAATGATTAATAAAAACAAAAAAACGAATTTTTCATATTTTACTTTTATCGTTTTTTCCTGAAATGTAGCCATACAACCTGTGAAAGGCTTTTTCTATAGGATTTCCTCCCATTTCAATTTCCTTATGGTCCTTCTTACATATGTCCGTCTCTACCCATTTAGCTGGCGGGTATTTCCTGACCTCGTAGAATTCATTTTTGCAAAGAACTTCATATTTTGGGCACTCGTGATCTCCACAGAAGTCTGGTTTACTAATGAATTTGATATTTTTTTTTTGAATTTAAAAAAAATTAACAATTGGTAGGACATTCGTAACTGTTTCAACCAAATTGAGTGAGAATTGGATTTTTCCTTTTAGTATATTTGGTTGATTGAAACTTTCTTATCTTTATTCGAGATTTGTGAACGAAATTGTGATGCAATCTTTATTCGAGATTAGTTAACGGAATTGTGATGCATATCATTTTTTAATTAATTATTTATTAAAATAACTATAAGCACAGCATTTTTTAAGTATAGGCAATATATCTAAATTAAATGCCAATAATTAAATGCCGGGCATTTATTAACAGGTAAAATTTTAAAAGTGCTGGAGTCGTCCCTTTAGTTTTTACAGCTTATCAAAGATGAAAATGAAAGAGTATAAATAAATTTTATTAACCCTCCTTCCATCTTGTATTCAGTTTTGGTATCATACATAGTTGTGAGAAGCTTCATCATGTGGCTAAAGATTGGTTGTTTCATTGCTTCCATTTCAGCCGCATAATCATTTTCCTTACCGGCTAAAATATAATGATACGATATAAAATAAGTTTAATCGATATTATGTTTTTTATCTTATAAACGATTTGTTAACCCAAATTGGACCAAAATTTTTAATCGCCGATAATTACTATTTTGGTAATTTTTTTGGCACCTTTAATTCTCTTATTGGTTGGGAATTATAAAACAATATTTATCTAAGCAAATTAATAACGACCATTCAAGAGGAATTCACATTTGATCATCTAGATAACTCAGAGTTATAATTATTATTAACTTTAAAATTATTTTGTAAAACCACTCAAAACGATCAATTTTTATTTAAGTTTGGCTTATTGTTGAAAAATATTTTTTCTAAATCCTGTTGACAGTCTTCTTTTCTGCAGTCATTTTAGATAATTTCACAGGAGAGGAATTTTAAAAAATATATAGCATACCATAATTTAGGAACTATTATACAATTGAATTTATAAAAAAAATGTTAAAAAAATTATTTTGAATCGATAATTTAATCAAATACGATATATTAATTTATAATTTCAACATTTTTGAAGGCAACTGAATCTTAAATGGGTTTTTAATCTCTAGATTCGAAATATAATCCTAAATAAAAAAAACGTGGATAAAATAAGGTAATTTTAGGCAATCAAGTATAAAATATAATATACCTTTCTTTTCCCCTTTAGCAGGCTCTTCTCCCGGTTTAGGGTTACACAAATAACTCCCAATCATTAAGGCCAAAATAAAAAATATATTCTTTAACATTTTTTGTTTTTTCTCGACTTTTTAATGATCTGAAAATTGAATAAATCTAAAAATAATTAAATTTTTTAATATAAAAAATCTTCCTTTTCTTTTTCCCTTTTTAATTTATTTTATTACTACCCCCCCCCCCCACTCCTTTTTAAGTCAAGCAAAAATAATCTAATATATAAATTAGTCCTACAGACTCTATCTAACAAATTTCTAAAAAGAAATCGAGTGGTGGTTTTACATTTTATTTATAATAATTTACCTCAAAATTAATGGACTTCTTGAAAATAATATTTTTAAAAGGATATTTTTAAAATTATTTTAATAAGAATTATTTTTTAAAAAAAAGTAAATAAATAAATGATCATGGAAAATTTTTTTAAAAATAATAATTCATTCTTTCCTCTCAATTTCCATATGTTTCAAATCCATAAAGAATTTTTTGGTAGATTATTTTTAAATAGTTAGATTTAATCATTTAGATTGTATGAAAGATTAACAGATGCTTTGTATATGAAAATATATTTAGAACAGAATTCAAGGCTAAATTTTGATCTTTTATCTATCTCTGAATATGAAAATATATTTAGAATATAATTCAAGGTTAAATTTTGATCTTTTATCTATCTCATCCCGATTACTTGAAGAACGCAATAAAATCAATGAATTGAAGAATTGGAGGGGGGTGGGGAATAGTGATTGGTGATAAAAATCACAATCATCATTAATTTTTAAAATTACTCATCTAAAATCATTTTTTTTAATAAATAGGAATATTTTTGTTAAATGATTATATGATTTTACTATTTTGATTACTTTACCAAGTAAAATTTGTATTTGACATACTTCAATAAATTTACTTATTAAAGCCTATACGAAAATAGAAATACCAAATTTTCGTGTTATTAGCTACAATAAAACGAATAAATAAAAAAATTCCTATATGTATGCCGGATTTGATGGCTGTTATCATTATATGAGCTATTATAATCTTGAAAAAATGTCTATGTATGTTAATGCCTAAGTCATTGTGACAAATCTTTATTTAATCCTTTTTTGGGTCACACCTGCCACATATGGTTATAATAATTTAAAAAATCGTCAGTTTTGAAATGATTCTGTGGCCTAGTAAGTATATTATATCACTTACTGAATATATCTGGGTAGAATCAGGGAAATATTTTTTTTAAAGCTAAAGTGGATTGGGGTGTGATAGTCTGTTAATATATATTAAACTTATATTAAACATGGTTCTAATATATTATAAACAAAATATTGTGCACCATATTTCTATTTGACTTTCACCAGTTTAATATTTACCTAATTTTCTTCCCATTTTGAATTCTATAAACTAATTATTTATGATTACTAATAATACAAAAAAAATTTTTAAGTTTCACTCTTATTTTAATAAAAAAAAATCACTGATATTTCTATTTTTAAAAATAATGATTTTTACAAAATTATAAAATTTTTATTATAATAATTAAAATTATATTTTTGATGTGAGTAGTGTTGATAAACGGCTCGTTTTGAGCCGATTTATAAAAACGGCTAACTCAATATTACATCCAGAAAAATATTACGCAAACCTGAAGATTTTGATCATAGAAGGAACAAAGGTCTAGACATATATTATCGAAATCTCGAGGCTTAGGCAATATCTTTCTGACTAAAATATTGAGTTAGCCGTTTTAAAAAATCGGCTCAAAACGAGTCGTTTAACAACACTAGATGTGAGAATACTGCAAACTTTTTGCAAGTTTGTAATAACTTGAGGGTGTCATGTCAATACACGTTACCTCTTGTGTAATTTTTAGGTGTTACCTTTCTAGGGTTAACACTACAGAATATAGGCTAATTTCGATAAATGACATAATTACGAAAAAGAAAAGTTTATTATAATTTTAAAGAAAAAGTTAATTTGAAGGTCCGTGAAGTTGTAGGAACGATGTAAGGATCAATTAACAAAACATATGCCATTATTTAGAGTCTTAATTGATCCTAATTGATCTTCAAACCAGACATCAGCGGAGTCAAAGGTTATTGAGTTATAAGCAAAATAATGAAAGTGCGAAGATTTGCAGCTGTAGGAATGATTTGAGGATCAATTACCGAAATTTATACCATTATATAGCCCGTTAATTGATCCTAATTGATCTTCTATCCGGAAAGCAGCGGAATGAACCGTTACTGAGTTATGAGCAAAATAAGAAAGTGTTGGCACTTTGCCAAAACCGAAAATATAAAAATCACGATCTGAAACTTGGCAATTATTTAGGCTTGTGCGTTAATAATTTCCAAACCGGATAACGATATCACTAACCGCAACCGAGTTATGACCTGTTTTTAAAGCGTGAAGTTGTAGGAATTTTTTTAAAAAGTGAGGATCAATTACCAAAAACTATACCAAATTGTGGCGCGTTAATTGATCCTCCAGAATCTTTAAACCGCATATCAACGGAATAAACGGTTCGTGAGTTATAAGCAAAATAGAAGTTTTGGCATCTTGCCAAAATTAAAAATTTGAGCAATCATTTTTTTAGTTATAGCCAATATTTAGTACCAATTGATCCTCCGTATTCTTCAAACGGAATGTCAAAAAAATTAAAGGCTATTGAATTATAAGCAAAATAATGAAAATGTGAAGATTTGCAGCTGTAGGAACGATTTGAGGATCAATTACCGAAACTTATACCATTGTATAGCCCGTTAATTGATCCTAATTGATCTTCTATCCGGAAAGCAGCGGAATGAACCGTTACTGAGTTATGAGCAAAATAAGAAAGTGTTGGCACTTTGCCAAAACCGGAAATATAAAAGATCACGATCTGAAACTTGGCAATTATTTAGGCTTTAATTTGTGCGTTAATAATTTCCAAACCGGATATCGATATCACTAACCGCAACTGAGTTATGACCTGTTTCTATAGCGTGAAGTTGTAAAAAAGTGAGGATCAATTACCGAAAATTATGCCAAAGTGTGGTGCGTTAATTGATCCTCCAGAATCTTTAAACCGCATATCAACGGAACGAACCGTTCGTGAGTTATAAGCAAAACAAAAAAGTATTGGCACTTTGCCAAAACCGAAAATAAAAAAGATCATGTTTTGAAACTTGGCAGTTATGTAGTATTCAATACGTACATTAACAATCACCAAACCGGATATCGATATCACCAACCACTACCGAGTTATAACCGTTTTAAAAACGTTAAGTTGGCGGAAATATCTAAGCTGTAGGAAAGATTTGGGGATCAATTACCCAAACTTATATCATTGTATAGCCCGTTAATTGATCCTAATTGATCTTCTATCCGGAAAGCAGCGGAATGAACCGTTACTGAGTTTTGAGCAAAATAAGAAAGTGTTGGCACTTTACCAAAACCGAAAATATAAAAGATCACGATCTGAAACTTGGCAATTATTTAGGCTTTAATTTGTGCGTTAATAATTTCCAAACCGGATATCGATATAACCGCAACTGAGTTATGACCTGTTTTTATATAGTGAAGATGTAGGAATTTTTTTAAAAAGTGAGGATCAATTACCAAAAATTATGCCAAAGTGTGGTGCGTTAATTGATCCTCCAGAATCTTTAAACCGCATATCAACGGAATGAACCGTTCGTGATTTATAAGCTAAACAAAAAAGTGTTGGCACTTTGCCAAAACCGAAAATATAAAAGATCAAGATCTGAAACTTGGCAATTATTTAGTTTTTAATTTGTGCGTTAATAATTTTTAAACCGGATATCGATATCACTAACCGCAACTGAGTTATGACCTGTTTTTAAAGCGTGAAGTTGTAGGATTTTTTTTAAAAATAAAGGATCAATTACCAAAAATTATGCCAAAGTGTGGTGTGTTAATTGATCCTCCAGAATCTTTAAACCGCATATCAACGGAATGAATTGTTCGTGATTTATAAGCAAAACAAAAAAGTATTGGCACTTTACCAAAATAAAAAAGATCATGTTTTGAAACTTGGCAATTATGTAGTATTCAATACGTACATTAACAATCACCAAACCGGATATCGATATCACTAACCAATACCGAGTTATAACCGTTTTAAAAACGTTAAGTTGGCGGAAATATTTAAGCTGTAGGAACGATTTGGGGATCAATTACCGAAACTTATATCATTGTATAGCCCGTTAATTGATCCTAATTGATCTTCTATCCGGAAAGCAGCGGAATGAACCGTTACTGAGTTATGAGCAAAATAAGAAAGTGTTGGCACTTTGCCAAAACCGAAAATATAAAAGATCACGATCTGAAACTTGGCAATTATTTAGGCTTTAATTTGTGCGTTAATAATTTTCAAACCGGATATCGATATCACTAACCGCAACTGAGTTATGACCTGTTTTTATAGCGTTAAGTTGTAGGAATTTTTTTAAAAAGTGAGGAACAATTACCAAAAATTATGCCAAAGTGTGGTGCGTTAATTGATCCTCCAGAATCTTTAAACCGCATATCAACGGAATGAACCGTTCGTGATTTATAAGCAAAACAAAAAAGTATTGGCACTTTGCCAAAACCGAAAATAAAAAAGATCATGTTTTGAAACTTGGCAATTATGTAGTATTCAATACGTACATTAACAATCACCAAACCGGATATCGATATCACTAACCACTACCGAGTTATAACCGTTTTAAAAACGTTAAGTTAGAAGAATTAATTTAGAAAGTGAGGATTAATTACCGATAATTATGCCAAAGTGTAGTACGTTAATTGATCCTCCAGAATCTATAAACCCCATACCAGCGGAATGAACCGTTGGTGAGTTATATGCAAAATAGAAAAGTTTTGGCATTTTACCAAAATCTAAAATTCGAATTTTATTTAGAGCCAATATTTAGTGCCTCAATTGATCCTCCGCATTCTTTAAAAGGAATGTCAAAAAAAATAAAGAAAAGTGAGTTATTAACAATAAGTGTTTCAGGGACGTGACAAATTTTGTATTCTTTAACGATGAAACTTATTTCTTAGAGCTCCATTACTAGTGAGCACTTTAATAAGTTTAATAGCCCAAATTAAAATGAAAGTTAATAACAAATAAATGGTGGTACACCAAAACAAAATCTAGAGCAGAAGAAAACATCCTATTTTTGCCATTATATAGTTATTTATTAGTTAAATTTCGTATTTGATTTGGTTAGCTCCATTATAAATTTTTTTAAAAGCTATGTAAATAATTCAAGGTCAAATTTTGACCTGAGAAATTATGGAAGCACTGCCCTATTAAATTATTACGATTTGCTAGGCCAATAATGTTACTTTAAAGGCTATTATGTTTCTGTTATAAAAGACTATTACTTCCTAATTGATAGATCCCAACATTTTTTAAACAAATATATTCGAAGATGTACTATTAATTTTGAATTACAGTAGCTATCTAGAAAAATTATGTTTATAACTTTTTAATACTTGGTCGTTTCAATGTATACTTAATATCATTCTCAAAAATTACCCTAAAAACTTTCTACAATGAATATATAATATTTTTAATACTTTATTCGCAAATATCCCATGTATATATTCCCAAATATCATCCTGGATTCAAATTATTTATTTAACTTTGTTGTAGTAATATAAAATTTGGCCAAATATATCGGCCTTTATGGCTTTTGAATTTGTCCCTTTATTTTAATCTCATATCTATATATATAATCCTCAAAAAACATCAATCAAATTTAGCCCATAGTATTTTTTTAAAAAATATTCGTCCAATAAAAGTCATAACATATAAATTAGTTACTGATCATAGTCTAATATATTTTTATTATTAAATTATGTAATACTCTATTTCTTTTTTAATTATTGGAAGTTTGTCCTACTTAATTGACAAATTTTGATAATTTAATTTATGTTAAATTATAATTTTAATCTATAAATTATTTAGCCATCTATTATCATATTAATATTTATTTTAATTACATTATATTTAAAAGTAGAAATGTAAATGTTTTATCTATTTTTTAGAATATAAATTATAAATATAAATAAATAAAATTTTATTATTTTGAAATTTTTTTTTATTGTGCACATAAATTAAAATAACTAAATATATACTTTATAAACATATTTTATCATAAATAATGTCATAGGTAATCAGTAATATTTTAACAAAGAATTTTCCTATGGGTCTCAAGAATAAGCTAATTTAAATATATTTTGATTCACAAAATATCACTCTTAGTCTTAATAGGTTGGAATTAGTTTGAAGGGGGGTGGTAAAGAGAATAAAAATTAGATATTTAAATAAAAGGTAACATTTGTCGTTGAAAAACAAAGAAAATTCTTATTCACCGTCATTTTTGACGGGCTATCTACTAGTAATATAATAGTGAAGGAATGTTGAAAAATAATATGGGCGAATAATAATATATTATTCAGAAAAAGAAAAAACATAGGTAATTTATTATATTCGCTATATATATATTTATTATAAGCGCGGGGATGTAGCGTATTAATTAGTAATTGCTGTTGGGTCCTTTCGGTTTAAGTACACTTGGGTATTTCATAGGAAATCTGTGGAATTGATTCAAACTTCATCCAATCGCCAGGTTGTTGTTGTAGGTACGGGCAGGCCCGAGATCAGGGAAAAGATCATAACGTTATCTAATATCCCTGAGAAAACTATATATAAAGATTATAAATTATTTTAACTATGTAATACTTGGTTCTCAGTTATTCAATTCGATGTACAGATATTGTGTAATATCCCTGGTTATTCAATTCGATTTACAGATATTGTGTAATATTAGAAAGCTATCTATAAAGATTATATATTATTTTAACTATATAATACTTTATTCTTAAATTCTCATTCCGTGTTTAAAATCATCCAGGAAGCTTACGTTTTCATTTTCAGTTTTGTTTTCCATTTATCATAATGTATTTTTTTGTATTTTCTTTTTCATTTTTTTCTTTTTTTGTTTATTTCTATATTTTTTTTTCTCCTTTTTTTCATATTTTTCTTTTTTTGATTTATTATTTATTTCTATCATTTTTTCTTTTTTCATTTGTTTATTTTATTTTTTTATCATTTTTTTTCTTTTTGTGTTTTTTCATTTGTTTTTTTCTTTTTTGTTTTATCAATTTTTTAATATGTTCTGAGGGCAAATGTGCTAGGTGTAAATGGGATCGGCTATAAAAAAATTTAATTGCTTCCAATAAAATATTTAATTACATTTTAATGGAATAGGAAGTTAGATTTGGTATTGTTGCAGCTTGATAATTTAAAATAAAATGATTTATTATGAATAATTTATTTACCCTCAGTTGTCAGCAAACAGGCCTTGACCCTATCTGAGGGCGTATCTGCAAGGTGTAAATGGGATCGGCTATAAAAAATTTAATTGCTTCCAAAAAATTATTTAATTACATTTTAATGGAATAGGAAGTTAGATTTGGTATTGTTGAAGCTTGAAAATTTAAAATAAAATGATTTATTATGAATAATTTATCTACCCTCAGTTGTCAGCAAAGGCCTTGACCCTATCTGAGGGCGAATCTGCAAGGTGTAAATGGGATCGGCTATAAAAAAATTTAATTGCTTCCAAAAAATTATTTATGTTAATGGGCTTGATTTGAGCCGATTTTAAAATAAAAAAGATTAACTAATATTTTAGCCAAAATAAATTGACTGCGCCTCGAGATTTGTCTAATAAATGTCCAAACCTTTGTACCATGTATGAACAAATTTTCAGGCTTGCTAAGCTTTTTTCGGAACATATTGAGTTAGCCGTTTTAAAAAATTGGCACAAATAGAATCGTTTAACAATATTATATATATTTTTTTAATTTCTATAAATTTGAAAATTATAAGATTTTTAGCCCAAAAATTATCACTATAAAAGCTGTAGGGCTATGCCAAGATTAAATATCGGATTGGATCTGATATTTCCATGCCTAATCAATTTGACTCGGTCCGTAAAATATTTTGCACAAGTTGCCCAGCTTATAAAATTTTTTTTAACTCTGATGGATTGATATTCAATTCAAAATTTATGAATGGCCAAGGTCATCAATTTTAAACATAACTAATTACCTGGAATTTAAATATATAATGTTAATTTAGTGGGAAAATTATTTGAATTTAGAACAGCAAAATAATTTAAAATCCGAGGCTATAACCTGGGATGTGAACCAAGTCCTAACCATCGTGTTTTTCTGAATCCAAAATCTTTTTAAAATTTGAGAGTTCAAGGTATCAAAAAAATTAAAAGTTTAAAATAAAAAAAGATGTTTTCGTGGAAAATATTTTTGATTTTCTTCGCATTTTTCAAAATTTTCAGTTTTTTGCCTCCATGTTGCATGTAAAATTTTATTATAAATTATAATTTAATGTATGTGCTCTGAACTGAAACCCCGAATTTTTTTAAAAATTATTATTTGAACTAGGACCCGATATCTAATTTTTTGTTGAATGGTTCCGTAATAACAATATACAATACACGCAATCATAAAAAATAACATTTATTCATGAAGCCCATTTGTAATTAAAAATAAGATATCGCCATTTTAAAGATGAGCATTTTGAAAGGAAGTAGACAAACAATAAATAAGGTGAAGACATATATCTATCAAAAAGTTGAAGAAAAATGACTTAGTTAAAACACAGGATCTTCTTTTTTTATCACGGTTCAAATAATTAATTATTTTAATATACTTAGTTACAAATTATAAGAGATAATATAAAATTTAAAAGACAATATATCTTTTAGATTAAAACAAATATTGTTACGAGAATTGTAGAAAAATGAAAAAAAAATTCATTATTTATTATTTATTATATTTTTTTCGATATAAGTTATTTATAATTTAAATAAGGAAAAAAATACTTTCTTTTCGGACCTTATTTATTTTTTTCATCATTGTTCTTTTTTCTCATGTTAATTTGTTTCTATTATGGTAATAAGAAAAATTTATCGGATAAAAAGATAGGGCTTACGGAAATATTTTAAAAAGTTAATAAGATGGGAAAATAAATAATTTTGGGTATCCCATCGAGTGCCTATTTGTCCTCTATATTTTTACCCAACATTCATAATTAAAGGAATATACGGTAAATAATATAACCTCTATCCCCGAAATAAGAACGCTAAAATTCGTAATGTATAATAAGAATAAAAAATAAATCAATTCTGTATTCGTTTTTTCTCAAATAAAAACATTATATTTTACCTCGTTAATTTTCAATATACACCAATGAAATTTTAGGAATGTTTAGATATGAGATGTAATCATTTAATATTTTATACTAATATTAATTAAAATAATTTTTTTGAGAAAAAAAAATATATTATATATTTTTGTTTTATAAAACAGATATTAATTAATTAAGAAAAAAATAAATAAACTATATTATTGATGATGAATATTTGTTTTGAGGACTATATGAAGCAGTTGTGGTAAAAAAAAAGTTTTTTAAAAAAAATTTTGATCTATTATAAATAACGACGCACATATGGTAAAATATGTAATTCAAAATAAAGGAAAAGGGATAAAATGTAAAATAATTACATACATTGGTTCGGTTATTTTAAAAATGTGTTGTATTTTCCATCATTTTAATCTACATTTACATGTTCCTTATAATTAGTGTTGTTAATCGAAAGAGTCTTGAGCCAAATTTTGGGTTCAAAAAATTGACCCAAACTGACTTGAGTTATGAACTCGAGTCGTGAACTCAAGTCTATATACTTAAATCGACTAGAGGACAAATAGTTCTATAAACTTGAGTCGTCGACTAGAGAATGAGAATTTTCATAATTATAACTATTTCTCATTTTTATTATGAATTTCTTCAAAGTAATAATAAAGATTGTTGTTTTTTGATCTTATAGCATCATACAACATATTTTTCTTTTTTATATTAATGTTTAACGGTGCAGATATGCCCCAGGCTAGATTTCCATATCTACTGTTATTTTTTTTGGCGGATTTTATTCATAATATAATATTTGGACTTTACGCTATATAATTTAAAAAATTGAGCCTACAACTTCACGCTATAAAAACAGGTCATAACTCAGTTGCGGTTAGTGATATCGATATCCGGTTTGGAAATTATTAACGCACAAATTAAAGCCTAAATAATTGCCAAGTTTCAGATCGTGATCTTTTATATCTTCGGTTTTGGCAAAGTGCCAACACTTTCTTATTTTGCTCATAACTTAGTAACGGTTTATTCCGCTGCTTTCCGGATAGAAGATCAATTAGGATCAATTAACGGGATATACAATGATATAAGTTTCGGTAATTGATCCCCAAATCGTTCCTACAGCTTAAATATTTCCGCCAACTTAACGTTTTTAAAACGGTTATAACTCGGTATTGGTTAGTGATATCGATATCCGGTTTGGTGATTGTTAATGAACGTATTGAATACTACATAATTGCCAAGTTTCAAAACATGATCTTTTTTATTTTCGGTTTTGGCAAAGTGCCAATACTTTTTTGTTTTGCTTATAAATCACGAACGGTTCATTCCGTTGATATGCGGTTTAAAGATTCTGGAGGATCAATTAACGCACCACACTTTGGCATAATTTTTGGTAATTGATCCTCACTTTTTTACAACTTCACGCTATAAAAACAGGTCATAACTCAGTTACGGTTAGTGATATCGATATCCGGTTTGGAAATTATTAACGCACAAAAGCCTAAATAATTGCCAAGTTTCAGATCGTGACCTTTTATATTTTCGGTTTTGGCAAAGTGCCAACACTTTCTTATTTTGCTCATAACTCAGTAACGGTTCATTCCGCTGCTTTCCGGAGAGAAGATCAATTAGGATCAATTAACGGGCTATACAATGGTATAAGTTTCGGTAATTTATCCACAAATCGTTCCTACAGCTGCAAATCTTCACACTTTCATTATTTTGCTTATAACTCAATAGTCTTTAATTTTTTTGACACTCCGTTTGAAGAATACGGAGGATCAATTAAGGTACTAAATATTGGCTACAACTAAAAAAATGATTGCTCAAATTTTTAATTTGGCAAGATGCCAAAACCTTTCTATTTTGCTTATAACTCACGAACGGTTTATTCCGTTGATATGCTGTTTAAAGATTCTGGAGGATCAATTAACGCACCACAATTTGGTATAGTTTTTGGTAATTGATCCTCACTTATTAAAAAAATTCCTACAACTTCACGCTTTAAAAACAGGTCATAACTCGGTTGCGGTTAGTGATATCGTTATCCGGTTTGGAAATTATTTACTCACAAATAAAAGCCTAAATAATTGCAAAGTTTCAGATCGTGATTTTTTATATTTTCGGTTTTGGCAAATTGCCAACACTTTCTTATTTTGCTCATAACTCAGTAATGGTTCATTCCGCTGCTTTCCGGATAGAAGATCAATTAGGATCAATTAACGGGCTATATAATGGTATAAATTTTGGTAATTAATCCTCAAATCATTCCTACAGCTGCAAATCTTAGCACTTTCATTATTTTGCTTATAACTCAATAACCTTTGATTCCGCTGATGTCTGGTTTGAAGATCAATTAGGATCAATTAAGACTCTAAATAATGGCATAGGTTTTTGATTTTATATTTTTACATTTAGTTTATTTATGTTATTTTAGAATGATTTTGATTAACTATATATTTAATAAATTAATTTGACATCTTCAATTCTGGTTCATAATAATCATTACATGTTTAAACAATTACAAATTCCATCGATGTCTTGTTTGATTTTGAAGACCATTCAAAATGATTTTAATTTTTTTTATATGATATATAGTATTATCAAAAATGGACTATAATTTTATTTATCCTATAAATATAAATATAGAAGGGGTAGTTTTCACTATTATTATATAGATATTTCATTTGAACCTGAATTAATTTTCTAAAAAGATATCCCTGCCTGTAAAAGCCCGGCCTGAAATTTTAAAAAATATTTTTGTCATAGCCCGAGCCAAAATTATTATCAAAAATTAGGCTCACCTAAGACCATTGTAAATTCGGGCCCTAAGGAAGGGATCATGCCGGGCCTTGCAGATCACTTAAAAATCTGCAATAGTAGGGCATATTTTAAATATAAGATCGTTCGGTTCGACCTAATATTTTTTAAAAAATTTTGGGCAGGGTCGAGTCGAACTTAATATATCTTTTAATAAAATTAAGGCATTTTGAAATATATTATTATTATTCAATTTTGTCAAATATTTGATATATTTTAAAATTCAAAAAAGGACGTCAATTAGAGATCTGCATAAGTACACGGCTCGTTTAAAAAATATTCAATAGTGAATCAAAATTTTTGTATTATAAATATATATATAGATAAAAATTTCAATTAACTTAAACTAAATTAAAACTACCTCTGAATTTTAGCAATATAAGATTTACAATCTAATTAAATGGTTACATTTTTCATAAGGGGGATATATCATGAATTTATTTTTCTGACATCCTCTAACTTTTTATAAAAGTTGTTCAGACCTTTAATTAATTCTAAATGATAAAAAAATCTCCATTTTATTGTATATAAGAATACACACAAATGATAATTTAATATCCTAAAATTAATTTTTAAATTATCCTGAGGCCCTGGGGAGAGTATTAGCGGGATGCGTCTTATCTTTCATACATTCATAAAACTACTTAATAAGGTTAGAAACTATTTAAGAAAAACCAACAAAGAAATTAATGAATCAGAAGGAAATCATTTGACTAATTTCAGTTATGGCAGTATATATATTAATATATTAAAATTTATATATTAAAAAGAATGATACATATAGCTGTAATCAAAATTAACCGATTATTTAATAAAAGGTTTAAGACTATTTTAAGGATTGGTCACAACAAGTATTTTAATTCTTTATATATAAAATGTATTTTGTAATAACAATTGTGCAGAATAAATACAATGATAAGATTTAATTATATATATTAATATTAAATTATTAGACATTAGAAATAAGTATTTTTGCAATCTTATTTTATTAAGTATGATTTAAATAATTTTAAATTTTTTTTTGCATATTAAATTTCAATATGATATACATTGATTTACACTAAATTATCATATAAGAATAATTTTGTAGGAGATTGCATTTAACGTTAATTGAAACCTAAATTCAGAATGGGATTTTTATTGGATTTTTTATTAGATTAACGTAATATTTAAATAATTTAATACATTATGTATATATTTAGAATTTTAGCATTTCAAATAGCTAAGAAGTATAATTTAAATTTACATACATCTTGAGAAATAACTGAAGCAGCTGATGATGGTTAGGTGTATTTATTAAAAGAAATCCAACATTGTCACTGAAAACACCAGAGGCTCCAAGTTTAGCTAGGGCCGCCAATTTCATAAGAAAATGGTTGACATATTTTTAAAAAATTATTTGATAGTTTTAAGTATATACTCTAAAATATACAAACAAATATATGTATAATAAAATTAACTTTATTCCCCATTAATTATATTAATCTTACAATCATAATCATAATCATAATATAAACATATATAGCCCTTCTGCCCTCTAGTGTTGAAGGTTCAACAGAGCTACGCTAGGTTTTCTTCATTTCCATTTAATTGGAATAATTTAATTTGGATATAAAAGTAAAAATATAAGGAGCCCTCTACACGTTTGTGGGCAAGCCGCCCGTACTTGTAGGCACAAAATTCCGAAAAATATTGCTTAAACCTCGATAGGCTTATTAAAAAGTAGTGGAACAAAAAAAGAGCCTTTACCCGAGAACTACAGTATAATTTAATTACTTTAAAGGTGGGTGATGGCTTGATATTAATAAGTATAAATTCATCAATGATCTTCTGTTTTACATTCATTCTCCTCTAACAAAAACCAAACTCATTCAAAAGATCACTTTTGATTGACATTTCATATATATCATTATATTTATATATAAATATATAACAATAATACAAAACTACAACATGCCCACCCTTCAGAAGCGTGTTACATTCTCAAAAAAAAATATATTATTTAATTTCTAAGATATTCTTCATTTTTCATATAATCTTCCCAAAATTCTCTTCATTTCTTATCAGTTATTTGATATCATCTTCTCAT